GAGTGGCCTTCCTTGATGATGTGATCACCATTGCCCGGCCGGACCGAGTGGGCCTTGCTCACCAGCACCTTGCAGATGAGCTCTGGGCCCACTGCCGAGTGCGTCTCAACAGTGGCAAGACACGCATTTGGAACTTGTGTGGACGCGTGCCACCCGCCCTCGGCCAGCCAGGTGCGCCGGAGGCCTCCTGTTGGGTTGGTGCCGGCGGCCGGCCAGTTGAAGAACAAGGGCTCACAGTGCTCGGTGTCCCTGTCGGATCGGCGGCCTTTGTGCGTTCCCAGCTTCTCCAGTCCCGTGCGGGGCATGACCGGTTGCTGGAGCGTCTGCTCCTTCTCTTTTGCTGCAGTCCGCGTTGCAACTATTTGCTTCGCATGCTCGCCCCGGCGACCACTGCCGAGTATGCGCAGGACCATGATTCAGCCGTGTTGTCTGCCCTTTCCACCTTGCTTGGCACAGGCGACCTGCCGCGACATGCCCGTGACGTTGCCCAGTTGCCCCTGTCCCTTGGCGGCCTTGGCCTCGCCTCTGCTGTTCGCAGTTCCGTGCCGGCTTTTTGGGCTTCCTGGGCTGACTGCTTGGTTGTTTTGAGTCGCCGCTTGCCTCGTGTTGCGCAAGAGTTTCTTGACCACCTCGACAGCCCCGACCCACAGCCAGCTTGCTTTGCGGCGGCTGCCGCAGCACGTGCAGCACTCGGCCACTCCGACTGGGCTCCCCCGGCGTGGCGGGAGCTGTTTGCTGGTGAGAGCGCGCCCGTGGTGCAGGAGGAGGGGCGTTCCACCTTCCTTCGTGGCTGGCAGGGCCAAGCTGCAGCCGCCGAGGCCCGTCGGCGTCGTGAGACCTGCTGCCCAAGCGCGCTTGCCCTCCCAGTCCGGGCCTTTCGCTAGCCGTTTCCTCACTACAGTGCCAGTCTCATCAGTTTTGTCCTATCCCTGCCATCTCTTCCGTGTTCTCCTCCTGCGCCGCCTGCGCCTCCCCTTGCCTCTTGCTGAGCGCGCCTGCCGGTGCCGTCGCCTTCTGGACCCCTTCGGCGACCATCGTGCAGCCTGCGCCCGGTCAGGTGTGCTCCGGGGGCGCGGGTGTCCGCTGGAGCGTGCGGCCGCACGCGTTTGCAGAGAAGCTGGAGCCAGAGTCAGAGTCACCTCCAACACACGCCTTGCGGACTTGAACCTTCAAGTTGACCGGGTCGACGATAGGCGGCTGGAGGTCGTGGCCAATGGCCTCCCACTGTGGGGGGGCCAGCAACTTGCAGTGGACACAACCCTTGGCTCGCCCTTGTCAGGCCAGGGCCAGCCCGTTCGGCGCGGGGGTCGAGTGCTGGTGCTGCCCTCGCCGTGGCGCGCCGTCGCAAAGAGCGGGCCTACCCAGAGCTCATTCGGGCGCACAGATGCCGGCTGGTCGTGCTTGCAGTCGAGGTTGGCGGGCGGTGGAGTGATGAGGCCGCCTCCTTCATCCGGTCCTTGGCCCGCGCCCGGGCACTTGAAGCGCCAGCTCGGCTGCGCCCCAGTGTTGTCGGCGCTCTTGTTGCCAGGTGGTCGGCCCAGCTGACCCATGCAGCCATGACAGCCTTTGCTTCGGGCCGGAGCTTTGCAATGCCGGGGGTGGCGCCCTGCGTCCCCTCGGCACCTTGCTGGCTGATCTTGCTCACGTGCCACCGGCGGGCGCATCCCGCTTGCCCGGCCGGTGAGCCGCACAGCCGGGAGCCGCCGGTATACAAATGGCTGCCCCCTTACTGCCCCCTAAGCACATCCGGGGGCCGCCGGTATATAAGTGGCCTGCAGGAGCAGACGGAAAAAGGCGCGGGAGAAGGGGGAAAAAAAAAACGGGACACGTCAGGCGCGAGCAGGTCGCTGGCATCGGGGTCGGGCCTGCACACAGTTCTCCCCAAAGCAGGCCGCAACACGGAAGGCGCCGCACGTGCCTTGGCATGGGCAAGCAAGCGCCGAACATCCGGCGCTTCGCTGCTCCAGCTAGCGGCCCCCGACCTCAACACCGTGGACGATGAGGCGGCAACGGGCGTTGCAAACAAGTTCGGGGTAGGTGGATTCCTTGCTGGTCGCCAAGGGAGTCCAAAGGGCGACGACACCGGCAGTAGCGCTGGGAAAGTGGCAGCGGAAGGGCACGGGCACGGTGGTCAGAAAGCGGTTGGCAAAGGGGCCCCATCCGCAAGCAAATGTGGAGGGCCCGTCCTCCCGCAAGGTGGGCGCCGGGACAACGTCATAGAGCTCACACACACCATCACAGTAGAGACTCTGCTCGGCGTGGGCTGTGGCAGCCGGCCTCAAGGTCAGGGAGAAGGTCTGTGCCGCAAGCGGCAGGTGCCGAGGCAAGCAACCCGCCCGAGGGCGGCCTTGGTCTCTTGTGTGCCACACGCGCTGCGCCTGCCGCCTACTGGGTGGCTGGGCCGATTCCTTGCCGGTCATGCTCCAGCGTCGTCCTGATGCGGCGGAGCCATGTGTGCGGGAGCTCCTCGTACACGAAGCTGCCGCCCCTTGCCTTCGCGAGGCGGCCGTCGCTGGTGACTTGCTCCCGCGCCACTGGCCCGAGCGTCCGTCGTGGCAGGACATCCTCGCGCACGCGGCCCCTCCCGCTGTAGCGGCTGACAGTGATCCAGGCGATTGGCCGCATGGTTGGCAGCTTCTCGCGTCTCGCGCACTCAACTCCCATTTCGCGAGACCGAGCTTCTGCCACACATGCGGCCGAGCGACCGCGCTTGTCTCCGCTCGCAGTCTGGCCCGCATGCGGGGGCTTGGCTTGCGGCTGCGCCGACTGACCCGGGAACCACGCTGCCCCCGGCGCACATGCACGTCGCCTTGCGTCGGCGCCTGCGCCTCGCGCTGCCCCTCACGCACCGGCATTGCGGAGGCGATGGGTTCCCAGGGTGCGGCGCCGTGCTCGATGTCTTGCATGCGGCAGCGTGCCCGCGCAGCGGACTGTTGGCGCGCCGCGCCCCCTTGCTTGGCCTAGCGTGGGCCCGCGTTGCGCGTGAAGGTTTGGGGCCCGAGGGCAGGGTCGTCCCTCAGCAGTCATTGCGCCAGGCGTCAGTGCGCAGGACAGGCGCCGCCTGGGTCTTGTTCTTTACGGCGCCACGAACGCGCCCACACCCGCGGTGGAGCAACGCCTCTGGGGCTTTTTCCGCTTTTCGATGCCGCCCCAAGCGGAGGCCGACGCGCGTCGCTGCTTCCCACCCGGAGTGCCAGCAAGCTCTTCAGGCCATGCCTCCCGCAGACTTGGTGCAGGAAGGTCTCCACGCTGCACAGCCCGCCCGGGGTTGGGGTGACCACGAACAGTTTTGTCCATGGCCTCAATGTAGCGGTCCCTCGGCTTGATGACCGCCGCGTTGCGGTCATCGCAAACGAGCCCTCCTTGTGAAACACAGCCCAGCTCGCTATGAGGCTGCCTTTCGCGTGGCATGAAAATCGTAGGCGCTCGGGGAGCGCGGAACGCGTCATCGCACACTTGCCAGTTTCTCGAAGCCAGAAGTGCCGAAGTGACTCGCAGCGCTGGCGGCCCGTTGCGCCGTCGCCTGCACCTACGAGGTTCATCCCTGCAGCGCTCAAAGCGCTTCTTGGAAAGCACGGCTGCCGAGTTCCTGCAGCCACTTCATCAGCATCAGCCTCGCGCTCTGCTTGGAGCAGTGACGTGCCGACTGATGTGCTGGCTGCCCGCGCGGAAGTGCTTCTACGGCTGCTTGCTACCGGGCCGGCAACCGCGAAGTACTTTGCCCAAAGAGAATCGATTCGCTGCAGCGCTTAGGCACGACTGCTTTGCCAGCATTAAGCGTGTTTGCGCTTAGCTTGGCGTCGTCCGGCTCAGCTCGGCCTTTGGCTTTACGAATTTCCTCGGCGTCCCTTATCTCCACATCAGCGCTGCTTTAATCAACGCACCACAACGGGTTGAGCCCGCAAGCTGCGACACCGCGCAACGCGCAATGTCCCGGACAAGCCCCAGGGCACCATCACTCCAGCGCCCACCAGCCGGCGCCGTGGTTTCTGGGCTTGCTTCCGTCGCTGCGCCACGGCAAGGATGGCAGCAGCATCAGTCGCGGTAGTGTTTGTGGCGTGTTTGCGACGCATGGAATAGTGAGCAGTGCGGCTGCTTGGGTCATGGCAGCAGCATCAGTCGCGGAGCAGTGCGGCTGCTTGGGTCTGCCGGCCCACGCCACTGTGCCTTCGTTAAGCACTCGTAGGCACCGTAGTTGGCAACCGCGTTTCACCGCGTGGACAGACGCAAAAAGGTGTGAAAAAATGCGTCAGTCGTCCAGGCGGTCGACAGAGGCGTTGTGACGGGTGGGCTCAACAGGGCACCCTGCTGCACCGTCGCCTCTTTTCTCAACATGGTGGGCGTTGTGTACCGAGACGGGTATGACAACCTCACACACGGCAGGAATGTGCACGCGCCCAGGCACCCCGAGGGCTTGCAGCATATGACATGGCCATAGCCCCCGACCCCGTCAACTGGGCGCTCGAAAATGATCGACTCAATGCCAGGCGCTGACAGAGCGCTGGCTGGAGTTGCAGCCGAGAGAACGGGTGCTGGCGTTCTTACATGGCTCATGAGTCATGCCGGCCTGACCGTGCGCAACCGTTGTTTGAAGCAATTTCCCGGCGGCTGGTGGACCAAGCGCCATTGAACCACGCGCAGACGAGAGTGTGGATTGCCGCAGCTTTCCCCAGCTCTCGCATGTCGTGAGTCGCGCCAATGAACGGCCGGCGACGTCCGTGCCTGCTATGGGCTTCCAGTGCCTCGCGCCCAAACGTGCTTTGGGCAAGTCCGCGAAAAGCATAGAAGAACGGGTGGCGCAAATGCGTAGGATCACTTTGATGCCCTTGTCCGCAATGTCCTACAAAGACCATATTTGCAAAACAAAACACCAACTCCCACCTGCAGCTCAGTTCAGTTTTTGTTTTCAAAGGTTTAGTCAAAAATTAAAGGCAACGCAGAGAACCTTTCGTTTTCGATTTCGCACGGTGTGCTGCGCAGTTTGTTGCTTTGCTTCGCAGGATTTGCCAAAGATGTTTGCGGAGTTGTATGCAAGACCATAGCTGCCATCAACGATGCGCCTACCGAACAGCATTTATGGGCGTCTCTATGTCCAACTGCCGGCGATGCGCGTGATGTGTGGAAACCTCCCGTCACGCTGGTCTTGGGAATTGCTGCCGTCCTGCCACAGAGAGCAGTGGAGGGGCTGGTGGAGCTGGTGCCTGATTTGAGGGCCTTGTGGGAAGATGCAGCTTTGCGCCTGACACAACGAAGTTTGTCGCTACCAGTCGGCGCCCTCGATGGCTGCCGGTCATCGGTCGTTGCGGCTCCTTGGTGGGCACTTTCAGGATGTGCTGAAGTCTGCAGGCAAACCCGCAGAGTCAAGCGTTGTGCAATTTTTGTTAATGCCACTGGTCTGGCCATGCGTGGCATTCCGCCCCCGTCATATCTGCTTCCCTCGCTCAAGCTGAGGTTTGGCCTCAACATGTGGCCGGCGGTGCTGGTGTGATGCAAGATCCGCATGTGCTGCATTTCCTGGGTGGGGCTTCCATTGTGATGATGGACGTGGCAACACTGAAATGCAGCGGTAGCTCTCAGCACTTATGAGCTGTTCCTTTCGGTTTTTGTTGGCTGATTTGTTTTGCTGTTCTGATGCCCTGTTTGCCGCTCGCCATTGTCCTTGATCAGTGTAGGACGCTGGGCCAACGCTTCCAGAACACTGGGTGGTCCGAAAGTTTCTTGTTTGCAAATACTTTTTCCTCTGCTATGTAGTTCGTTTTTGGTCTCTCCTTTCTTTTCTTTCCGGATTTTGGTTGGGGCTGGTCACACTGCAACCGAACTTGAGGCGCTGCACATGCGGAGTTGCTTGCGCAGCATCGCGGCGACACACTTTGCAGCTCTGGCTGGGCCCTGCCCGGAGATGCTCGTTGGAGCGCAGCAAATCGTCGGCAGCTCATCGGACACTTCGGCGAACATACCATGGGTGGGAGGCAGGTCCCCTGAGCTCGTTAACCTGGGCTGGCACGGCAGCGAGCTGCGAGTTTCCCTCCCCCATACATGTGTTGATGTCTTTGAATATTTTTACATGTTGGTTCCTGGACTGTGCGGACCTCACTGGGAGCTTCGGGCCGTGAAGGACGTGTATGGATGAAGGTACATGCGGTAAGATGTGGCCTGGGCAGCTGCCGCTCCTTGCGATCCTCAAGCCGGAGGCTTGATATTCAACCTTTCTGGGCTAAGCAGGCCCCAGGTGGCATCCCTTTCAATGCCAGGGTGTGGTACTTGAAGTTTATCCCGTGCTGAGTTGTTTTGTGTTTCGGGCCAGTTTGCAAGCCAACCCTGATCAATGACCGAAAGGAGTAGTATTCACAAGGTGAACCATGTGGCTGCTTCGGAGTTCTGCCACTGTTGGCCATTGAGTCTCCAGCTTCGTCCACTGGCAAGTGACTGCGGGTGTAACTCGGCGTAGCCATCGGTCATAGGGTATGTCCCTTTTGGAGGGTACCCTGGTTTGGCGTGCTTTCTCTCCAGGCCACTATGGCTGCCCTCTCTTTTTCGATTTGTTTGCTTTCTTCCTTTTGACGCCTCCATATTTGGAGCGCGAGCCATGGCCCGTGGCTCGCCTGACTCAGCTGAGGACCTGCCGCCCGCCTGGCAGCGCCTGGCGCTGAAGCCGCCGGCCGCGACGCGGGGAACGGCGCTGGGGGCCTTTGGCGCCTGGTGGCCCGCGCTGCGGCAGCTCTGGGCCGAGCCCTGGCCGAAAGGAACCCCGTGGCGTGCGTGCGTGCGTGCGTGGGCGGGCGGGCGGGCGGGCGGGCGGGCAGGCGGGCGGGTGGGCGGGCGGGCGCGCCGTGTGTGTGTGTGTGTGTGTGTGTGTGTGTGTGTGTGTGTGTGTGTGTGTGTGTGTGTGTGTGTGTGTGTGTGTGTGTGTGTGTGTGTGTGTGTGTGTGTGTGTGTGTGTGTGTGTGTGTGTGTGTGTGTGTGTGTGTGTGTGTGTGTGTTTGTGTGTGTTTGTGTGTGTTTGTGTGTGTTTGTGTGTGTGTTTGTGTGTGTTTGTGTGTGTTTGCGTGTGTTTGTGTGTGTTTGTGTGTGTTTGCGTGTGTTTGCGTGTTTGCGTGTTTGCGTGCGTTGCGTGCGTGTTTTGCGTGTTTGCGTGTTTGCGTGTTTGCGTGTTTGCGTGTTTGCGTGTTTGCGTGTTTGCGTGTTTGCGTGTTTGCGTGTTTGCGTGTTTGCGTGTTTGCGTGTTTGCGTGTTTGTGTGTTTGTGTGTTTGTGTGTTTGTGTGTTTGTGTGTTTGTGTGTTTGTGTGTTTGTGTGTTTGTGTGTTTGTGTGCTTGTGTGCTTGTGTTTGTGTGCTTGTGTTTGTGTTTGCGTGTTTGTGTGCTTGTGTGCTTGTGTGCTTGTGTGTTTGTGTGTTTGTGTGTTTGTGTGTTTGTGTGTTTGTGTGTTTGTGTGTTTGTGTGTTTGTGTGTTTGTGTGTTTGTGTGTTTGTGTGTTTGTGTGTTTGTGTGTTTGTGTGTTTGTGTGTTTGTTTGTGTTGTGTTTGTGTGTTGTGTGTGTGTGTGTGTGTGTGTGTGTGTGTGTGTGTGTGTGTGTGTGTGTGAAGCGTCCTGGAGCACGGACGGAAATTCCACATTGCAGGGGATCTCTCTCGACTGGAGCCGATTTGCCTATCCAGTCCAATGAAGCTACGGCATTTCGGTGGATACCGGATCTGATCAATCCGGCGTACCTGCCTATTTCCTGACCCTCTTTCCTGATTCTTTTTGCGGTTTCTGTTTGTCGCTGTTGCTTCCTGTTCGGTGTCGATGTTGTGACCTGTTGATTTGCATTTGCATTCAAGCATTTTTACTGACTGCGTTTTGCATCTCGGCTAGTGAAGCCTCTCGAGATAAGTGTGTTTACCCACGGCCTGTCCGACATGGCGCTGTGGGCTGGACTCGCCATATGCGGGAGCCCCCTGCGAGGGGAAGACCGTTCAAGTGTTCAAGTTCAAGCTGCAGTTCAGTTCAGCGCGATTGACCACGATCAAGGCTGCAGCTTGAGGTCTTAAGGTATTCCGCACCCAAATGGTGCTCTGCTGGTTTCATGCGCCTGCACTGCCTGCACTGCCTGCCTTTGAAGCAAGGCTGCACCCACGAGGTTTCAGGCTCCTAAGCTTCATGCGCCAGTGACGAGTTGGTCATACACCAACTCTGCAATTCGTGGCGTTTATGGAAGCTTTCGTCTCGGATGAGTTCAGTTCAGATTCATGAGTTCAGTTCAGATTCATCGGCATAGCCACATGAGGCACTTTCATGAGGCCACTTGACAGGCACCTCTGAGAACCCCTTTGTGCTCGCATGCATTTGCACCATTGACGCATTTTTGCTCGCATGCATTTGCACCATTTGCGTCCCTCGAAATTCTTTTGCTGTTGCCGCGGGGTTTCTTGCGGTCCCCTGGTGGAATTCCCTCTGCTTGGTTTTGTGTGCTCGGGTTTGTCGTCTTTGAAAATTTTTTGCCGTTGCCGCGGGGTTTTTGGCGGTCCCCTGGTGGAATTCCCTCTGTGTGGTTTGTGTTCGCGGTTGTGGGGTTCGGTGTTGTGTCGGCTTGACGCATTTTTGCCGCAGTTGTGGTTTTGTTTCACCCCTTTCCAACCTTCTCTCTCCCTTGCGAAATGGCTGGACACCAGCTCTATGACATGATGCATTCGCTCCTGCACAGCATTGCGACCGGCACCGCGTCCGGCTCACCAGGCAATTGTGGACCGAACTTGCAGCTGTCATCCCAGATGACGCAGCCCATGAACCTTGTACCGTCACCCAACTCGCAGACGGCATCCTTCACACCTTTCCCCATGATGCCCTACGGCGGCCTCTCGAACTTTGGCAACCCGATGGCCATGATGCCCTACGGTGGCCCTCCCAATTACGGCAACTTGGCACCTGGCACCATCATGCCTTTCATGACTCAGAGCAGCATGCCATCTTCACTGCCCGAGCCTCAGCCGGCGCGCGCGCCCGAAGCTGCCGCTGCGGCTCCTGCCGCTACCTCCTCAACCAACCACCCTCCCCCGGACACTCGGCACCATCCCCACTCTCGCAGATCCCGTTCCCGCCACAGACAGCACCGACACTCCCACTCCCACACCAGCCACCATCGCAGGCACAACAAGTCGCACCGACGACACGACACCCGACGATCCCGCAGCTACAGCAGGTCACGTTCCCTTTCCCGACACTTCCACCACTCCCGACGTGCACACCACTCCACTGTCTCCCTCCGCTCCCGCTCCCCCCGACACAGGTCCCACCATCGACACTCCCCTGCACCCAGAGCCACGACTTCGCACCGACCCACTCACACTACTCATGATTCCACCTCCTGGCGCACTTCCGGGAAGGATTCCAACAAGTCTCAATGGTCCTCCTCACACTGGCGGAACCAATCGTGGGGATACCCACCACAGAACAAAAACCGCTGGGACATGCACCACCATGGCGCCAGCCACACCGGCCACCGAAACAACCAGGACAAACGATCGTCCTGGTCACTGCAGCACCATGGGCAGCAACCCCACCCCACTTCCCGCACCGGCCACCACAACACTAGCTTGCCCCCTCACCCAGCACCTGCGGCGGCCTTCACTTCCACTCCCCCTCCCCCTCCCCGACCCACGCCGGCTACTCCTCACCCTCCCCAACCCCCCTTCGACAACACCGGTGATTTGGATCCCCCTCCATCGGAGGCGGACATCAATGCCACCACCACTTCCGACAACCGGTGGCTTGATCTATGGAGAAACGTCATGGACACGGCCAAGACTGACCCGCTGCGAGTTCCCACGCCTAGGGAGTTGGGGGAGCTGGACCCGCTTCCAGCCTTGGACATCTCCAGGGTGGAACAGACTAAGGCCATTTTGATGGACCTGGACCCTGCTTTGCCACCTTCACATGCCGATCTCCTCGCGGAATGCTGGGAACTGCGAACCATGGACACGGATGATCCCATACCGTTCGATCCCAGCTTCTACCACCTCTTGGGACGGGAATCACACGGCATGGTGTTCGCAACCACTTGGTTTCCCCGACCTCATCCTTGGCCAGTTGCTGGCGGAGACCCGGAAGCTGGATCCGGCACGGCCTCCCATCACGCTGTCATGTATGTGCACGGCACCACCCCGGATCGAGTGCGCCGCATGTGCCATGAGAACATGATCCGACCCGCTGCTTGGAGGCCCGAGAACCATGACTACCCGAGCTTTGGATGCTACGCTCAGGCCACCCCCACGGCATGCACGCCCGACACGCTCGGCCAGCTCTTGCAGAACTTTACAATCGGAAAGTCTCAACTCGGCGCCATCGCTTTTGGGGAACTACGCTCCATCAATCAGCACAAAATCCTCGAATCCGGGGGAAGCCACGAGGATCAACACAACGTGCGGCGCCACTTCGCATGCCGCCGAGGCAAAAAGTGGTGCCTTCACTCCAAGTTTGCGATGCTGAGAGGCATCGCGCTGCAGCGCCCGGCTTAGCGGGGCGCAAGTGTACCATCTTCCACCCAACCAGGAAAAGAATTGGTGCACTGTTTGATCGCCTTTTTTCTTTGCTTTGCTGTTCTGCCTTTCCGCGACCGTTCTCTCACCTTGTGACCTTACCCGCTTGATTCCGCTCACCAGCTTGTGGTTCGAACATTTCCTTTTCCCCCGTGTTTTCTCATGGCTTTCCAACCCCCTCGAGGTTTGGTTACGGCGCTCCAAAGGCAAAACTTACCACCGCAGCCTTCGCCCACGGCATCCCATCATCATGGCATCGTGTACGGCAACAACATGGCCGGGAACCCGTGCGGGGCCCTGTCCGGGCCTTCCTACGGATGCTCTTCCACGGCATCGGCACCGCCAGCTACACATCCGACTCCCTGTCAGACCTACGGCCAACCTATTCCCCGTTACCCACCACACCCCGGCCCTCGTCCACCCTCCTTTGGCGGCTCTCTCCCCCCCCCTCCCGGCGGCACCCCGACCCCTCCCCCCCTCCCCTCCCCACCCACTTGGAAGGAGCCCCGCGACTTGCTCCAACCACCTCCCCACGTTTGCCAATGGCTCACCAGCAACTTCCCACCCGACATTTCCGACACCAAAGTCCAGCGATGGATCACCTCTCAGAAAACCAGCAAAGAGAGCAAGCAAGTCCTAAAAAGCTGGTCCAACGACTGCGCAAAATGGGCAACCACACTGGACTCCGACACCAGAGCCCAACTCGAACGAGCCGCTGTGCTATGGGGCATCCCGGTGCGAACCCTATCAAAACTGGGGTCATCGGCCTTGGGCCGCATCCTGGCCGCTGCGAGTCACTTCTACCAGTGACTCTCAACAGCACACCGACAACGACGCACAGCCAGGCAGCACAAATTTTGGCAACACCACTGCTGCCAACTTCTCACTGTCCTCCGTTTCACTCTTCGGTTCTTCCCAACCGATGACGTCACCGCACGTCATTCTTGCTCCTGGCTACTCGCACAGCTTCAGCTACTTGACGTCTGCCATCTCTCCTGTGGTTCCGGCAGACTGAAAGCCCTGCTTACTCGACTTGGCCTGGACAACCCTGCTTCCGATTTCTCTTCTCAGCTTGTCCCTTCAGCGGTTTATCTGAGATTCACCAGCCATCCAAAGTGGCAGGCCTTTTTCTACCTCGGAGCCACTCGCGCCTCCCTCATGGCACGGGGCCGCAGCCAACTTCGCAAACTACTCCAAGTTCAGCGACATCAT